CTGACAATAATCTCATAATTGTTTTTTCATTTTTAATTAACTATAAAAATATCTAAGTAAATTATAAACTTAAGAGATAATTTTTGAAACATAACTTACATTTTTTTCTTAAGTTCATCTCTTCTAAGTTATTGGGTATAGCATTCCAAATGTATACCCTTAAAAGTTATTGAACATTAATCTATTGATTTTTTAAAATGTGATTAATTCTTGTTTGTGTAGTGTACGAAGCATTCAGTACACATATGTTACAGTCATATAATGTTCATCTATTATTGGCTAGTAATTTCTGTTTCACCATGTACTTTTACGCTTTTTAAAGGAACACCAGACTGTTGACTTCAAGGGACAATGATAACATCGTTTACACTAGAATTATGATGTTTTTTAGCTTATGTAAAATATAGAAGAAACATATTGACTTTAAAATAGGATTGCAAGAGAATAATAATAATAATAAGAATTACAAACGGGCTGTTTTGAGCGGATTTTCTTTTCCTTGTAAGTTTAATATATGTCTTTTTTGTTCCTTTTTATATGTATACAGTCTTAGCAGTCAATATTAAAGGTTTTTAAATATTGTTTGAACGGAATATTTACTTTTAAAGGTGCTTTTTGTCCGAACTTTCTATTAGAGTTTTGTGCAAATTCTTGCGATCCATATTATGAACCACTATCGTGGTTCATGATATCAACGTGGTGTTATTGATACACTATTGCAGAATAACAACAACAGTTTTGAATGAAAATAAGAAAGCATTTAAAGGTTTACGTTCAATTTTAATAGTTGGATTCCAGATTTACTTAAAATATAGTTGGTTAAGAATACTAATTCTCTGTGCTTATAAAACAGATGGCACGTATTAATATTTTCATAACGAATTAAAAGAAACAACAACACTAAAATGTTTCTAAAAAAAAGGGTTTTCCAAACAATATGATATATAAAATCAGATATAATTACTTAAATGAGGTTAACAATCTCAAACATATATAAAATTCAATATTCCAAAACAAACAATATATTAAACGTAACAAATCAGTTGTGTACGCTATTTCGTAGAACCTAACCAAATATTGATTTAAGAGTAAATGTTAAACCTGAGAATAGAATACACTATTTTTTCAGATATAAAGAAATAATTCCATTCTTAAAAACATCTAGTGACATATTAAGTTACTTTCCTAGGAATAATTCTAAATATATCAATTCGATCACTAGATAGATAAAAACACGCATAAAGAAACAAACAGATTTAGTGATAAATACCATGTAAAGTATACGTGATGAAGCGCTAGGCTAATGTGACATAGTCAAACAATCGCAGTATAATTTAAAATTTCGCTAGAGGGCGTGATACGTTAAAAGAAATGTTAAACCAGAGCTGAGTGAGAGAGAGGTTCAACAATTAACTTATTAGTAATAATATAGGAACTAAGTTTGACTAGAAATCTATGTCTTATATGTCTGCCAGTGTTGTATGCAAACATCACAAATTTCACTTGTCTATAGTTGCTCCCGTTGGCTCAGTGGTAAGTCTAAGGGCTCATAACCATGAAAGTCGTTTTTTTATATCCGCGGTGGGTAGACAACAAATAGCCCATTGTGTAGCTTTGCGCTTAACAACAAATAAACATATATATGTTTTATATTTACAGATTTTAAATGTTTTCTATAGTTTTAATTTAGAACGTGGTAAATCAGGTAAAGGTTGTGTGCCAATTCAACCCCAAGTTGTACACGCTGAGCATGATTTAATCATCGAGTGTCTCATGCCATAGTTATATGGGATGTGTAATGTTAACGTTTTCAGCCGGATTCGTTTCTGACAGTGAAAGAGCAAAAGCATCCTAGTGTAAACTTCCCTCGTTTCAATCTATTTAACTTGCTAATCGTTTGTGAATCTTTTCTTTTCGTTAATATTCACCAGTATTCAACTCAATTTAATAATTATCCTAATTATAATTATACTAGATTGTACAAAACATTGAAGATAAGTTATAATTTTAACTACAATCTATCTGGTGTATGAAAAGGAGATACAAAAAAAAAGAGGACGTTGTTTGTTTCAGAACAAAGCCACATTGAACTATCTACTGTATCCACCGTGGGGAATCGAATCCCGGATTTTAGCATTGTAAGTTCGTAAACTTACCACTGTCCCACCGGGGAACAGCGAATAGGAAAATGCTCATACAAAATTCAGTCTCTCTAACTAAAAAGAAATATTGATAATCAAATAAAATAAAATAAACGTAAAAAAATTACAGCATGCAATATATTAGGTAGCTTTAACTGACAATAATCTCATAATGTTTTTTTCATTTTTAATTAACTATAAAAATATCTAAGTAAATTATAAACTTAAGAGATAATTTTTGAAACATAACTTACATTTTTTTCTTAAGTTCATCTCTTCTAAGTTATTGGGTATAGCATTCCAAATGTATACCCTTAAAAGTTATTGAACATTAATCTATTGATTTTTTAAAATGTGATTAATTCTTGTGTCAGTGCAATAGATGTCCTTGTTATTTTTTTAAAAAGGTTTGATGACTGGATATATTCATTTATTAATTTATTAGCATAAAGATAAAACTACCTACTGGATATATTAATTAATTTTTCCAGTTTAACTGATCTCCCTGTCAGGGATGTTGCAACTGTTATTTAGATAGATAGATATATACCCACATTACTTACCTATCATTCAAATCAAGTGGAGGTTCACATTCAGCTGTCATGGTTAGTAGTGGCCGTCTAACTCGTAATGAAGGAAGCACGTGTATCACTGTTTTCGTACAGCGGTTCTGTTCTGTTTGTAGTACAGCAGACAGTGGAATTTCAACGTCCTGAGAACAGAAACAACCAAGCTTCGTGTTCACGATAATTCAAATAATATAACAAAAACTTTCGGAATCTAATTTTCAGTCACTTATTTATTCTTTGAATATATATATATATATATTTCTTTCCTTCTTACACGATGAAGTCTCTAAACATCATAAAGTCCTGATGTGTTTCTATTTTCATTTCATGTTACGTTGAATAATAATCCTTATAAGATTATAAAATAGTAAGTTTGATTTATACTCATTAGTCTTAATAGAGAACAGAGCAAACTTTTTTTTATTACAAGTTATAGCTTTTACAGTAAGTACGATTTGTTTTTAGAACAGGTACGACGTTTCGAACACTGATGCGATCATTCTCAAGTACACAAGTTTTAACGATAAAGAACGTTTTCGTATATAAATCAACATTCAACAACCTAACAATTAGCGATTTGTTAGATGGTTGATTTCAAAACTAAAAGCATTTTACCGTTAAAACTTGTGTACTTGAGAATGATCGCACCAGTGATCGAAACGTCGTATCTGTTTTAAAAACAGATCTTGCTTACCGTAAAAGCTGTAACTTGCAATATAATATATAATTAATCAGTAAGTAAACTCAAAACGAAACTTTTTTTGCTGTAATATTTATACGAAGAGTTAATCACACTTGATAATAATGATGCTACAATGCTCGAGAATGAATGACAGGCTTACGAACAAAAATATCATAACAGCAAGGTTACCGCACTGACAAAATGCATTCTAATCATTCTAAATAAGAATATAAAGATAGTATTTTAAGTTAGCTATATCAATTACTGACTTATTTTTATTCTGATCTACTTAAGATGCTTATTTGTTTGTTTTTAATTTCGCGCAAAGCTACACGAGGGCTATCTGCGCTAGCCGTTCCTAATTCAACAGTGTAAGACAGCTAGTCATCACCACC